CGCTGCGGCACGGCCGGGGGGCGGAGAGGGGCGGGCGCGGGGCGGGTTCGGCCGGAATGTAGAGAGAGGGAGAGAAGGAGAGAGCGAGCGAGAGACCCAAGCTGGAGCCTCCCGGCGGTGGCCGGCCTGCCGAGCGCACAGGCTCCGTCACGTGTTTTTCTCCTCCCGAGTGAGACGGCGGCGCGGTCGGAGGGGGGCGGGGCGCGCGGGGCGGGTTCGGCCGGAATGTAGAGAGAGGGAGAGAAGGAGAGAGCGAGCGAGAGACCCAAGCTGGAGCCTCCCGGCGGTGGCCGGCCTGCCGAGCGCACAGGCTCCGTCACGTGTTTTTCTCCTCCCGAGTGAGACGGCGGCGCGGTCGGAGGGGGCTGGCGCGCTGTGCCAGACGCCGCCGCCGCTTGTTTTGGTTGGGGCTCTCGGCAAGTCTCGGAGGAGAAGGAGGAGGAGGGAGAAGTAACTGCAGCGGCACCCCCCGTCTCCCTCCCCTGGTCCCTCCCTCCTCCCCTGCCGACTGGAGCTAGGGGCAGGGATGAGCCCGTCCCTCTGGACCGTCCTCGGCTTCCCCGGCTGCCCAGTAGCGTTGCGGGTGGAAAAGTCACTCTCCCCGCCCGCCGAGACAGGCTCGAATGCGCTCTGCAGAGGACGCGTCCTCGGGCGGCGGCGGCGGCAGCAGCAACAGCCGCAGCGCCGCGGTCTCTGCGACTGAGCTGGTATTTGGGCGGCGGGTGGCGGCGGGGACGGTTGGGGGTGGGAGGAGGCGGAGGAGGAGGCGAGGAAGGAGGAGGAGGGAGAACCCCGTGCAACGTTGGGACTTGGCAGCCCGCCTCCCCCTGCCCAAGGATATTTAATTTGCCTCGGGAATCGCTACTTGCAGAGGGGAACTCAGTAGGGACGGCGCGCGCGCCTGGAGGGCCGAGCGGGGACTCTACCGCCGCTGCCTCCTGGTGCGGGACTCGATCGGGGGTGGCGAGAGATGCTTCTCTGCTCCTTCCCGGCTGCGGCGACTCCGAGGACACTTGGCTTTTCGGAAGATCGTGGCTGAGCTCACCCCAGACTCACTGCCTTCCCTCCTGGACATGAACCGCCCTTAAACTCCAGTCAGTCGGGCTGTCTTCCTTGGCTCAGCCGCTACGTCCTCCTCCGGCGGCCCCTCCCCAGCGCAGGGGGCGGCGGATTTGGGAGTCCCGGTTTCTGCTGCCTCCAGCCCCGAGTGCATGTGCCGGGCCGCATCGGCCACCCTCCGCCCCCCACCCAGTTTTTCGGCGCCTCCCTCGGCTCCGCGGCAGTGGCGGCGGCATGGCGAGCCCTCCGGATACTGATGGCTTCTCGGACGTGCGCAAGGTGGGCTACCTGCGCAAACCCAAGAGTATGCACAAGCGCTTTTTCGTGCTGCGGGCTGCCAGCGAGGCCGGGGGCCCGGCGCGACTGGAGTACTATGAGAACGAGAAGAAGTGGCGCCACAAGTCGAGCGCCCCCAAACGCTCGATCCCCCTCGAGAGCTGTTTCAACATTAACAAGCGAGCTGACTCCAAGAACAAGCACCTGGTGGCTCTCTACACCCGGGACGAGCACTTTGCCATTGCCGCGGATAGCGAGGCCGAGCAGGACAGCTGGTACCAGGCTCTCCTGCAGCTGCACAACCGAGCAAAGGCCCACCATGACGCAGCCCCCGGAGGAGGCGGCGGTAGCTGCAGCGGCAGCTCCGGCCTCGGGGAGGCAGGGGAGGACTTGAGCTATGGAGACACGGGCCCAGGACCTGCGTTCAAGGAGGTCTGGCAGGTGATCCTCAAACCCAAAGGCCTGGGTCAGACAAAGAACTTGATTGGCATCTACCGCCTCTGCCTGACCAGCAAGACCATCAGCTTCGTGAAGCTGAACACCGACGCAGCCGCTGTGGTGCTGCAGCTGATGAACATCAGACGCTGCGGCCACTCCGAGAACTTCTTCTTCATCGAGGTGGGCCGTTCAGCAGTGACAGGGCCTGGCGAGTTCTGGATGCAGGTAGATGACTCCGTGGTGGCCCAGAACATGCACGAGACCATCCTAGAGGCGATGCGGGCCATGAGTGATGAGTTTCGCCCTCGAAGCAAGAGTCAGTCTTCGTCCAATTGCTCCAACCCCATCAGCGTCCCCCTCCGCAGACACCATCTCAACAATCCTCCACCCAGCCAGGTGGGGCTGACCCGCCGATCGCGCACCGAGAGCATCACTGCCACCTCTCCTGCCAGCATGGCGGGAGGGAAGCCAGGCTCCTTCCGCGTGCGCGCCTCCAGCGATGGCGAAGGCACCATGTCCCGCCCGGCCTCGGTGGACGGCAGCCCCGTGAGTCCTAGCACCAACAGGACCCACGCCCATCGGCATCGTGGTAGCTCCAGGCTGCACCCCCCACTCAACCACAGCCGTTCCATCCCGATGCCTTCTTCTCGCTGCTCACCTTCAGCCACCAGCCCAGTTAGTCTGTCGTCCAGTAGCACCAGTGGCCACGGCTCCACCTCAGACTGTCTCTTTCCCCGGCGGTCCAGTGCCTCTGTGTCCGGCTCTCCCAGCGATGGCGGTTTCATTTCTTCTGATGAATATGGCTCTAGTCCCTGTGATTTCCGAAGTTCCTTCCGTAGTGTCACTCCAGATTCCCTGGGCCACACCCCACCGGCACGGGGCGAGGAGGAGCTGAGCAACTATATCTGCATGGGTGGCAAGGGGACCTCCACTTTGGCTGCCCCCAATGGTCACTACATTTTGTCTCGGGGTGGCAATGGTCACCGTTACATCCCAGGAGCTAACTTGGGGACAAGCCCAGCCTTGACTGGGGAGGAAGCCGCCAACGCTGCAGATCTGGATAACCGCTTTCGGAAGAGAACCCACTCAGCAGGGACATCGCCAACCATTTCTCACCAGAAGACCCCCTCACAGTCCTCTGTGGCTTCTATTGAGGAATATACAGAGATGATGCCAACCTACCCACCAGGAGGGGGCAGTGGAGGCCGACTGCCCAGTTACCGGCATTCTGCCTTTGTGCCCACCCACTCCTATCCCGAGGAGGGGCTAGAGATGCCCGCCTTAGAGCGTCGTGGTGGCCACCATCGTCCAGACTCCACCCTCCACACTGATGATGGCTACATGCCCATGTCCCCAGGGGTGGCTCCAGTACCCAGCAACCGAAAAGGAAATGGAGACTATATGCCCATGAGCCCCAAGAGTGTATCTGCCCCACAGCAGATCATCAACCCCATCAGACGCCACCCTCAGAGAGTTGACCCCAATGGCTACATGATGATGTCCCCCAGTGGCAGCTGCTCTCCTGACATTGGAGGCCGGTCCAGCAACAACAGCAGTGCAGCCCCTTCTGGGAGCAGCTATGGGAAGCTATGGACAAATGGCGTAGCAGGCCATCATTCTCATGCCCTGACTCATGCCAAACCTGTAGAGAGCAGCGGTGGCAAACTCTTGCCTTGCACAGGTGACTACATGAACATGTCCCCAGTGGGGGACTCCAACACTAGCAGCCCCTCAGACTGCTACTACGGCCCAGAGGACCCCCAGCACAAGCCTGTACTCTCTTACTACTCCTTACCAAGGTCCTTTAAGCACACCCAGCGCCCCAGGGAGTCAGAGGAGGGTGCTCGGCACCAGCATCTTCGCCTCTCCTCCAGCTCCGGTCGCCTTCTCTACACTGCAACTGCGGAAGACTCTTCCTCTTCTACCAGCAGTGACAGTGTTGGTGGGAGTTACTGTGGGGCTAGGCCCCACCACCATGTCCTGCAGCCCCATCTTCCTCGAAAGGTGGACACAGCTGCTCAGACCAACGGCCGCCTGCCTCGGCCCACAAAGCTATCCCTGGGGGATCTCAAGGCCAGCACCTTACCTCGGGCTCGAGAGCAACAGCAACAGCCACAACAAACTCCGCTGCACCCTCCTGAGCCCAAGAGTCCAGGGGAATATGTGAATATTGAATTTGGGAGTGACCAGCCTGGCTATTTAGCTGGCCCCATGACTTCCCGTAGCTCCCCTTCTGTTCGGTGTCCACCCCAGCTCCAGCCAGCTCCCAGAGAGGAAGAGACTGGCACTGAGGAGTACATGAACATGGACTTGGGGCCAGGCCGGAGGGCAGCCTGGCAGGAGAGTGGTGGGGAGATGGGCAGAGTGGGCCCGGCACCTCCAGGGGCTGCCACTGCTAGCAGGCCTACCCGGTTGGTGCCCAGTAGCCGGGGTGACTACATGACCATGCAGATGGGTCATCCTCGTCAGAGCTACGTGGATACCTCTCCAGTGGCCCCTGTCAGCTATGCTGACATGCGGACAGGCATTGCTACAGAGGAGGTGAGCCTGCCTAGAGCCACAGCAGCTGCTCCCTCGTCGTCTTCCACAGCCTCTGCTTCTCCCGCTGCGCCTCAAGGAGCAGCTGAGGTAGCTGCTCGCTCTTCCCTGCTGGGGGGTCCTCAGGGACCTGGGGGCATAAGCGCCTTCACCAGGGTGAACCTCAGTCCTAACCGCAACCAGAGTGCCAAAGTGATCCGAGCAGACCCACAAGGGTGCCGGAGGAGGCATAGCTCCGAGACATTCTCCTCAACCCCTACTGCCACCCGGGCTGGCAACACTGTGCCCTTTGGAGCAGGGGCTGCAGTAGGGGGCGGTGGCGGGGGCAGCAGCAGTGAGGATGTAAAACGCCACAGCTCTGCATCATTTGAAAACGTGTGGCTGAAACCTGGGGAGCCAGGGGGAGCTCCCAAGGAGCCGACTCAAGTGTGTGGGGCTGCTGCAGGGGTGGAGAATGGACTTAACTACATAGACCTGGATTTGGTCAAGGACTTCAAACAGCGCCCTCAGGAGCGCCCCCCTCAACAGCAGCCCCCATCTTCCCCAGCCCCTCACCAGCCCCCGGGCTGCAGTGAGGCGAGCCCCACCAGCCGCTCCAGCGAGGAATTAAGCGCCTATGCCAGCATCAGCTTTCAGAAGCAGCCAGAGGACCGTCAGTAGCTCAACTGGACATCACAGCAGGTGCGTTTCATGCTGGCAGAATCAGAAGACAAAAGTGTTTTCACCCTAATGCTTAAATTGTGTTCTTCACCTCTGTCCCTTCTCACTCCTTCCTATAGTGTTTTTGGGGAAGATACACTTTCAGGTGGGGGAGGGTCAGGGGACACATGCTCACCCCCCCATGACATCTGGCAGATAATCAAAGAAATGTATTGGCACAGCTGCAGAAGGGCTTCTGTATTTGAGAATACCCAAGTGCTTCCTGCAGTATTTTAAGACTTACACTCTGTAATACCAGTTCTGAGGTTTGTAAAGTTCATGGACAATTTTACAATACTTGTTAATACAAGGACTTAAAGCCTTCATTTAAGATCCTTTCTCAGAGTTCTGGAGGGTGATCTTACCTAGTGGCTGTATGTACTTTTGCTCAGTGTTTGCACATCACCCAAACAGTATAAACAGCAACACTTTTTATTCAGGCTGTCCTAAAAAGATTCAAGAGTAAGAGCTTTTTAGGCACACATATTTAGAGAGAAATACTTATCTATCTCCGATCTCTAGAGAAAGTAATTATGGGTGACATTTTCTTTTTGTTCTCATACCAAGATTCATGAAATGTTTTCCACACATGTACCCACCATCTCACAGGCATGGCCACTTTTATACAGGATATGCAATAAACTGCATGCGTCTGGGACCCATTATGAGTTAAGAGTTACGGAAGTTCATCCCAGTCTGTCTGCAGTTGTCTTCTTTTGCATGGAGGCAACACATACACATCATTTGGGGGGGGGCGTACTGAACATCTTTTGTAAAATTACATAACATTTTTGATGGTGAAAAGAACATACATCAAGTCAGGGAAAGGAGGTTGTTTTGGTTTGTGCTGAACCTAGGGACAGAACTGCATACTCTTCCCTTGTAGGATATTTGTTTTCCTTTAAGTTCAAGAATAGGTGCCTCAGAAATATTGAAAATTGGCTTTAGGTCATCTGTGGCCAAGGCTGTATTGAAAATGAGAAACATTTGTAATAGGAAATTAGCCTGTCCTTAGTTCTGTGAGTCTATTTTCTGGCAGTCATTGTGGGTAGAAGAGAGCAGTGTCGTTCCCAAATAATGTGATGAGTTGGCAATGCAGAAGTTACCAGCATTTGGAAACACTTTATTCTGACAAACCGATTACCTTGTGAATTTTATATATGCTTCACGGAAAGGGCTTTCAAAAGCATTTATCCTTCTTAATAAGCCTCTATTCATAAGAAACTAATTTGTGCCTTGGGCTTTTATCAATAGGAAATAATAATACATAATAGAAGTATTTATTATTATGTGGTCAAGATGGTCTTGAGGCTGCGTCCAATACCTGTCATTCTCTATTTCATAGAACTAAACAGAGGCACATGAACATTAAAATTAAGATTTTGTGTGATATGTTATGAAAAATATTGGTTTTTTTTTTTTCTTTCAAACATTTGTTTTCATCATTCACTAGAGCACAGAGATTTTGATTGTGTCCCTACCAACATAAAATTTTTGGTTATTTCCAAGAATGTTTTTGAGAGTTAAAAATCCCTGCAACACTGGCATTTTTACAGTGCTTCACTTATGAAGGGGAACTTGAAGAAAATTCAGCAAAACTGAAATTTGAGATTTAAAGGAGATTTTTTTTTTTAAAAAAAAAAAAAAGGAAAAAAAAAAAAACAAAACCCTTTTCCCCTCATTTGTTTTCTAAATTTGCCTAGGTTTCCTTTTACATAAGAGAATAAACCAAATAGCCAATTTTCATTTTTAAGAAAAAGACTTAAAAGAAAATCCTCCTTAGGTGGCAAGTACACTATGACCCCCCCTCTCAAATTTAATCTTCAACTTTCCATTCTTAACTTTCCTAGAGAAAAATGATGTTCTAGAAAAATCAGTTAGGCCTCTTGCAATCCTGTAATGACAATATACCATACTTTGCCAAATGCCAGAAAAAGTATTCTACAATGTGTATCTATAAGATGTGAATGTGTGTGCATGTGTATGGTGTGTTATAGGCACAGCAGCCAATCCTTCCAGGTGCATTCAGACCCTCAATTGTGACTGCTTTTGCTAAGTTTAAAGGTGTTACCTGCTAGTCAATTATTCTCAGAAGCTGAAGGAGATCAGACCTGCCAGGGGCTAACAGCTTCTGCTCAGAGTGTCCGGTAGCTGTGCCTCTGCCACCCTTATCCTTGCCTCTTCTTCCCACCTCTGGGATGAAACCTGCAAAGTGATGAAAGGCACAGAACTGCTGAGAGTGCTTCCTCCAGCCCCTCCTTTAAACAGCTGGGTTTGTTTAGGATGTTTCTCTGGCCCTTCAAGGAGAGTGGTCTATGAAGCATTTAGCTCTTGTGTTTAGGACTGGACTGATCCAACCGTCTTCGCGATGCCTCTTTTCTCTGGTCCATGGCTGGGTCACCCCCAACTTAGCTGTGAACTGCTAGGTTGTGTTGTAGAAATCTTCCCCTCCCATTCTCTTTGTTTTCCACCTCCTACTTCATGGTCCTGGCGCTGCCCCGTTTCTGTTTTCCTTCTTCTCACAGTACAGTACTTGTGGCCTACTCCCTTCATGGGTTAACCAAGAACCCAAGGAAACGGATTTTCTGGGCCTCTGGATGGTGACCCAGCTACCTTTGACCAGCATTTATGCCTCAGATTTGCCTTTTAATGTTGAAACTGCAGCCTGGCAGGAAGAGCAGGCAGGATTTTGCGCACACACTCTTGAGCCATCCCTCTGGGGTTCTGTTTTTGTCCTTTTGTTATGGGCCCTTTAAATAGAGAATTTTGCCATTCTCTTCCTCTCCCTGTTTTTCCCTGCTGCCATCTCGGATTTCAAGCCTCCCCGGCTGCTTCCCCTTCCCTCCCCCTCGCCCCCTGTGGCCTTCGGAGCTGACGCTAACCCTGTGGGCCCTGGCACTTTCCCTCTTCCCGGGTCACCTCCGCTTCCTGCATTCCTCTCTTTATTTGGCTCTCCGCTTCCCGCCCCTCCTCCGAGCCCCCTCGCGCGCGGGGTTGGGGAGTCCGCCCTCCAGGCTCCCGCCCCCGCTCGTCTCGGTAGTCGCCGGCGACCGGGCCCCTTCTCGGGCAGAGAGGGTGGTGGTGGCGGCGGAGAGGGCGCAGCGCCTGGTGCTGATTGGCCCTCGCCAGCGTGAGTGACGGCTGCGGGGCGGGGCCGGGGCGGGGCCTCGGCCGGGAAGGTTTGGAGCGGGCATCCGCGGCTGCAATCTCCCACCCCTCGAGGTCCACCCGTTTCCGTCTGGCTCCTGAAAAGCTGAGCCAGATCCTGCCCGCCCCCGACTGGGCATGTGATGCCCTCAGCCTAATTCGTGCATCTCCACCAGAATCCCAAGAATGAAAAAAGCCCAGCCGCTGGGTGACAGAGGCCGGAAACACACACTTCCTCTTATTTTTAATTGAGAAAAATTCAGGCGGTGACCATGTGACATGCCCCATTTTGCTTCCCTCCTCTCTTTACTATGGTTTACTACGACGCCGCCTCGTTCCTTCATCTTCCCGACTTGAGTCTGCGAGCAGAAGCGCGCGACAGACAGCACGTGGGTTAGGACTGATGGGGCTGGCTCATTTATGTCTCTTTGCTAATGGAAGGGAGAAGGAGCCACAAGTGCTGTGGCTGGCCCTGCGTAGGGATCATTCCGAGAAAAACTCCTCGGCCTTGAAAGTGCTTGAGGCTCTTTCCAGTAACTAACAATACACACTGTATTGAGCACCTGAGCTGGATAAGATCAAGGAAAACTGAGCCTCTCTTCCTGCGGGAGAACTCCCAGCACAAGGAAAACGTAAGCTGCAGCCTGCGCCTTGTGACAATCCGCAGATTCATTGAAAAGGGCTTGAAGAGTGTGCCTAACCAAAGTTTTGAGGAAGCGCGAGTGTGTTTTTCAAACATTTGTTTCTGACCAGTGTCATCCTGTCAGGGAAGGCTGGGCGAACTGATTTGAAAGCTTGTTCATGAGTATGGGGTGGGAAAGGTGTTAAAGAAAATAAAATACAATGGAAGTATTTTCTCCTCTCCAGCATTTCCCACCAGCCAGCATCCCTCTTCATCACTGACTCATTAGTCATAAGGGAAGTGTTTTGCTGAGGTGCCCATGGAAACAGCACAGGTGAAAACCTATGCCAGCACTGCCCTGGTGTGAAAGAGAGCTTCTTGACAGCAGAGAAAAGAGTTGCTCCTCAATGCTTTTGAGCATCTAACAATTTTTTTAGTTTCTGCCACTGTTTAGGATGCTTAGGCTTTAAAAGAATACATCCTTACATGATAATCGGTTATTGAAACACCTTAAGCATTGCCTTACAAGGAAGGGACTTGGGCTTCAAAAGAGCATGCCACTTTTTAATCTTTTTTTTTTTTTTCCATTTAATCAAAATTCCTGGAAAACCAGTTTGTACTATCTTTAATGATGCAATGGAAAAAAGCTGCCCCAAGGACTGAGATCTTAGGTTCTAACACAGTTTGTACCCTTTACTAGCCTCGGTGACCTTGAGCAAGTCACCTAGTTTCCCTGGGCCTATTTCCTCATCAGTAACTGGAGATGTTTGTTCCACACTGTTTTAACTTTCTTTGCAGCTCCAAACTTTTCATAGGAATGATTTGGAGCAAGTGACTGATATTCTTTTATGAGTCATCTGTGCTGAGAAGTCTTTGTTCATAAGCTGTAGACAGGGTCAGAGTAGAAAGTGCATTGGGCTGCCCTAATCTGTCCTGTTCTTGCCCGTGTGTGAAATTCTCTGTCTGGGCAAATGGAGGCCTGGAAGGAAGGTCCATTGACTCAGGACTAATTTTTTGACCCGTTTTTGTTTAGAGGGGGCATTTTCATGTTTTAACAGACTTTAAGACCACCCCCTTCCCCCGATTGTATTTACCTCAGTGTTTGGAACCATCTCCAAACTGGATTGAATGCCTCTCCTCCCTTTTAAAAATAAAACATTGTGTGGAAATACAAATCACTTGCTATTTTCTGCTTCCTAAGGTCAGCTGTTAG